AAAAACAGTCTGCAGAATCCCCTCACTGATTACACTGTAAATGATAATCTACCTTAACCAAAATCAAAGTAGACTATCACTCACCCACACCAGATGGATATATATATATAATTGCATATACACACATGAATACCGGGCTTGTGGACCCGAATACGCCATTATCAAAACGGTTCTGCGCACTGTCACTGACTTTCAATTTCGTGTAGTCCTCAAAAGCAATCTCAGTTTTTCACGACACATCGCAAGTAAGAGCTCCAGAGAAACAAAAATTGCATTCTCACTAAAGCGGTAGGAGACGGAAGAGGACATACAAGCGGCGAAAGAGGGAAACGCAATGAAAGGCGCCGAGGAGGGTGGGCGAGGAAAGAGGGGGGAAGGGGGAGGGGGAAGAGGAAGGGGAAACAGCGGGAATGTGTAGAATCTATCGAAATGCTATTATTAACACGACGAAATAAATACTATTAAGAACAGAGAGTCAGAAAAGAAATAGTACACTTCATTCAAAGAGGGAGGTTGGCAATGATCGAAAGAGGGGTACTATATTTATATATATTCTTATTATTATTTATTACTATGTCATGCAATCCCTGCCATACATTGCCGTTTGCACGCTGTACTTTCATTATCATATCATATTATGAGACACTATAATTAAATAATACTGTAATAGTTTATTATGCGCACACAGATCAAGCAAAGATCAATAGTAGCACCCCTCATGGACGTGACATAGTTAATTCAGCGTAGGGCCAAGTAATATCACAGCAAGTCAATTGCTTTTCCGAGGTGGTGTTTGTGGTTGTGTTCCCCCATTTCCTATTAGGTACCTTCTCTTTCTTTTCTCTTCTTCTAAAGAGGCCGATAAGCTCAGTCAGCCCCATCCTGCGGCGCAATCCCACTAGCACAGTGGATCGGATTCAGCGCCTGAATCTGGATGACTTTTAGACGGAGATGCTGAAAAGCAGAATTGCTGTTTTCTGCACCTCTCCACGAACGCGTCCACATTCGGCCGCTGAGTGCAATCATCTGTGCTACTCGTCGCGAATCAGCGAGAAAAACGAAGGACAAAGAGGAGAAAAGCGTCAGGGGAGGCGGCGAGCATGCACGCTTAAACTTGTCACTTACCTTCAAGGAGACTGCGCGCAGGCGCTACGGCGATGCGGAGACAGCGCGAAGCCTCCGCCAAAACTCGCGACGATCTCCGCGCAAGCATCTTGTCGTGCGTACGTTCCCCGTCCCCTGTCTTCTTCCTTCCAGCCCGACTGCTCTCCTCGCCGCCGCGACAGTTGCAGTGGGCGCCTGTCGAGTGCCCGCCACCGGACGGCGCGCAGCACACGTTCGTCACGCCCACGTGGTGCCACGTGTTCGCCAATTATGTCAGTGCCCGACCCTCACTCAAGTCCACGTGGCTGGATGGCTGCCAGCCACCAACCCGCCAAGCTCGGGCTTCCGCAACACGTTGTGCCGGATTTGAACTCTACAACCCCCAATGCACGCACACGGCGACCCACCTGCGCCTCCAGCTCCGCCACCGGACGGCGCGGAGCACACGTTCGTCACGCCCACGTGGTGCCACGTGTTCGCCAATGATGTCCGTGCCCGACGCTCGCTCACTCAAGTCCACGTGGCCGGATGGCTGCCAGCCACCAACCCGCTAAGCTCGCCTCCGCAACACGTTGTGCCGGATTTGAACTATACAACCTCCAATGCATCCACACGGCGACCCACCTGCGCCTCCAGCTCCGTCGCGATCGCGCAGCCAACACGGACCACACCTCGTGCCATGACCAGCATCCATTTTTCCTTGACCCCCTTCCCCAGACAGATAACGGGATGGCCACTGCCCAAGAGCGTCCAGGTGCACTTCGCAGGTCGGCCTTCTTTTTCTCCAACAAAAGAAGGGGCCCTTACCCCATCCTCGACCACCACGGTTGGGGCGGGGGCCAACATGCATCCCCTCTGATGGCTGGAGGGAGACAACACGCAATGTTTGCAGCCCGTCAGGGTTGCATATTCCGCCCCTGAGACATTCCCCCCCCGAGATTGACTTACCGTGAGGGCTCTGATGGCCGTTCGCAGACCGTCAGGGTTGCGTTTTCCCCCCCTGAGACATTTCAGGGCACGGGTGCGCAGCCCGTAGTTTGTATATTGTTATGACCCTGGCCAATTTCGAGATACACATCCACCCGAAAGTACAATGACATCCAATTGCAGAAAGAAATGACTGAACTTGAGAGGAGAGAGAGAGGATTAGAAGAAGAAGAAGAAGTAAGAAAGAAGAAGAAGAAGATGTACACCATCAAAGACAATGACAAGGCTCTTCTTCTTCAACCAACAATCTCCTCCTCCTTATCTCCCCCTTCTGATGTTCATACAAGAAATAATAATTGTCTACCGCGTGGGCGCGGGGAACGCAGCCCTAAGGTAGCCAAATCAATGAGACTAAGAGCTAACACAAGAGAGAGAGAGAGAGAGAGAGAGAGAGAGAGAGAGAGAGAGAGAGAGAAAGAGAGAGTTTTGTTACATTTATTGTTATGAGTG